GTCAGGAGCACAAGATTCGGACTCGGAAAGATCCAGGTTTGAGTTCTGGCTTTGCCACTTAACAGCTCTGTGATTTTGGTCAAGTGCAAACCTTACATTCCTCAACTGCAAAATGGGATATACTAGACCCTAACTTTCGGATTGTTGTGAGGAGGAAAAGAGAAAACGAGGGTAAATAGTTAGTGCAGTGCCTGGCACGCAGAACTGTTCCAAGCATTAGCCATGTAGCCATAGGACCAGTTGCTTCTCCTGAAGCCTCAGTCTTCTCATTTGCTAAACACAGTTACTAAAACACGCAGGGTTAAAATGTTTGTAAACTGCCAAGCACCCAGCTACCTAAGAGTCGTGCAACAAATTGTATTTATTAATGCTGTTTTGGCATTATTATAGCACATACACACCCCCCTCGCTCTCTGATCCTACCCTCTTCAGTAAATTCTCACTTTGCCTCATCTTTACCAGAGCCAGCTACTTATAATGTAAGCCAGAGAATTTTTTTAAAAATCCAGAAAATTCCTCAACTGCCACTTCGTTCTCAATGCTTTTTTTTTTTACTAGATATAGTAATGTTAAAAAATATATGAACTTCCTCCTTTTTAGAAGTTTACTCAGAGAAGCAATATTAAGAGATAAATGTCAAAAGGAAGAGTAGCAAGAAACAGGAGGAGAAACATGGAACCTACACAGGGTGTCCTAAAAAAAAGTATACAGCCCTAGCCGGTTTGGCTCAGTGGATAGAGCGTCGGCCTGTGAACTGAAAGGTCCCAGGTTCGATTCCGGTCAAGGGCATATGCCGGGGTTGTGGGCTTGATCCCCAGTGGGGGACTTGCAGGAGGCAACCGATACATGATTCTCTCTCATCATGGATGTTTCTATCTCTCTCTCCCTCATCCTTCCCTCTGAAATCAATAAAAAAATAAAGTATACACTTGGAATGATTATAAAATCAGTGTTTATTAACATACAGTTCATTTAAAAACTTTAAAAGAATGTATAGAAATGAATAATTTTTTTGTCAATGCCTGTTTTCAAACTGATGACTGTTCTGGTCCAGGCATTGCTGGTAACATGAAGCAATGGAATCATAAACATCAAAAATAATTTTGTTTGGTATTTGTGCATCTTCAATTCATCGGCTGTTGCCAGGTTTTGTACCGTAAACTTTATCTTTTATGTACCCCCATAAAAAAAATGTCTAGTGGCCCTATAGGATAAATTTTCTTTGTTCAAAGCTTTGTCTGGCTTCACTCATTATTTCAAATCAGTTAATCCTGAAAATGAGTGAAAATTAAGTTATCAGCTGTTAGAGTGTGCATATATTTTTTGGGAGACACCATATATATATATATATTACATAGGCTAGAGTCACTTAATGAATAAAAATAAAGAGAGACAGATGGATATAAGAAAAAAAAACCTGAGTCTGTAAATTACCTCAATGAGTAATGCAACCATCTTTTTTCCATCAGCTCCAGGATTGGCAAGTTTGTTAAATTCCAGATCAAAATAGAGCTTGCAAACAGCATTTTCAGGAATGACTTCATAGCAGTGTAAGAGATGTTTTCTAAATTTAATAGTTCATGATTGTTAGGTTTGAATCTTATACCTTTTAAATCACAGAACTTGATCTTATATGTCAAGATACCATATTAGCTGTTTTAATTACATATAACTACCTATATATATAAAAGCCTGGGTTGCAGGCTCAATCCCCAGTGGGGGGAGTGCAGGAGACAGCCGATTGATGATTTTATCATTGACGTTTCTATATCTCTCTCTCTCTCTCCCTCTGAAATCAATAAAAAATAACTTTTAAAAATAGTAATAGATGCTGACTTGATAAAGAAAGGATAACTTGTGCTAAATGAAGTATAGATGGTTTCCTACACAAATATAAAGTTTGTAGTAATCTGAACAAGGAAAAATGATGACGGAATTGTGTCATCATGGGGCACATGTAGTACAGAACCTACACACACACACACACACACACACACACACACACACTTTCTTCTCCCAGCACCTGGTGAGATAATTCAATGTTGTGACAAGGAAGATCCAGAAT